ATTTCGTCGTTCTTATGAGGGACTATTCTTGTGGTGTCTTGACAAAAAAGAAGCTCAAAAAAACAATGGAGGAGGCACATTCTTGAACATGTGGAGCACACCAATCGGGCCTAAACATCATTTTCGCATCAAGAGGATGGGCTACTATTGGCCAACAATAGTGATGGAATGCTTAGAACATGCAAAAAGATGTCAACTATGTCTATTCCATGCTAATTACATCATAAATATCCAGAGGCTCTACATCAGACTGTAGCCTCATTTCGTTTTGATGCATGGGGACTTGATAGTGTTGGACCTCTTCCAAAATCGTCAAAAGGATACATGTATATCTTGGCTTCCACTGACTATTTCTCTAAATGGGCTTAAGTTGTACCATTAAAAGAGGGGAAGAAGGAAAATGTTCTTGATTTTGTCAAATCAAACATAATTTTTAGATATGGCATTCCATGATATATAGTCACTGATAATGGAACACAATCCAAAAATAAACTCATGAGTAGTTTGTGTGAGAAGTTCAATTTTAAGCAGCGTAAATCTTCAATGTACAATGAACGAGCCAAGGGTCTTGCTTAAATTTTTAACAAGACACTTGGTAACCTATTGAAGAAAGTTGTTGCAAAGAATAAAAGAGACTGGCATGAGAGAGTTGGTGAAGGTTTTTGGGCATATAGTACAACACTTAGAATAGCTACGCAAGCGACTCTATTTTCCTTGCTATATGGCATAGAAGTTTTCCTTCAATTGGAGAGGCAAATTTCATCGTTGCAAATAGCAATCCAAGAAGGACTTAGAAAGAAATGCCTAACTTTGTCTAGCCATGTTGGAGGCATTGGATGAAAAGAGATTGGAAGCACAACAAAGGTTGGAGTGTTATCAAGCTAGACTTGCAAGAGAATTCAACAAGAAAGTGCGACCCCAATCATTTTAAGTGGGAGACTTGGTCTTAGCTTTCCGAAGACCATAATCCTCAACAAACGCATTGGTGACAAGTTTACATCAAAATAGGATGGACTGTATATTGAGAAGGAGGAATATTCAAGTGGCGCTTATAAAATTGTCGACCAAGATGGTGTAAGAGTTTTTCAAATCAATGCCAAATTACTCAAGAAATACTTCCATGAAGGCTGGCTACGCTCCTTAAGTTATGAGCATAAACTGCATGTTACTCCTAGCCTGCAAGAGTATAAACTTTGTACGACTCCCAAAAAAACTCATCCTCTTGAACTATTGTAGGACTGGATCCTTTTCACCGAGGTACGGGGCACTTGGAGTAATTGATACGCTCAAACTTACTTCTCAAATAAGAAGTAAAGCGGTCGTGTCAAATAAATAACCCAAATAGTGAGGTTGGGATCATTCCCATGAGGAAAATAGTCTAGACTTAACTTCAACCTATTATTACTATTGTTTAGTCAATGACTTCCTTGGAAACTAAAAACAATAAAAGGGGGTTTCTATTTCTAAATGAATGAAAATAACTAACGCAATTGAAAGAGACACTTAAAAGCTTTGAATGTTGGATTTTAATCAATTAATAAAAGTAACTAGGGTTTACGTGTTTCCCACGGGTTCATAACTTGATAATTCTAACTATAACAATTCTTTTCTAGTATCTTGCATGAAAAGTGATAAGTTATGTATTTCTAAATCCTTGGTCCGGCAACAAGAAAATCTCACTCCGCACCTTGGTACAGCTACGTGTGTTGCTATCCTAACCCTTCTCTTTACCTCATATTTAGCATTGTATTCGATATTTGACTAAGTTATTACCTCGTACTAATCAATACTAGCCTATTAGATAGTATACACTAAATCTATGTTGATAATTCTTTTCCTATTATCTACCTCCTTGGTCTGGCAAGTAGCATTGTCGCACA